TCATTTGTAAATTATACTTTTTACAAAAGCAGCCACATGCTCGTGTATACATATAAACAGTGTGTAATATCCTATGTAGTTCAAGTGCAATAGTACTCTTGCAATATATACTGCAGTTATTTGTAAAGATGATAGGGTTAAGTAAGATAAATGAATTTATGAATTCAAAACTTTATTTAATCTTATTAAAAGGAGAATGGAATGCATTTACAAATAACGGATATCAATGACCCCTTTGTGGTCAATTCTTAGCCTAGGGCTTTTGTTTGAACAAACTTGTAGACATCCAATAGAAGATGTTTCATACCAAGTATCTAAGCTCTCGTGATTTTGGATTTTCACCAGAAGATTTTTTTTTAGTTTTACGAAATACATATAAGGAAAATCAATAACCTCCTGGGTTCAGCCAATTTTGACCCTTGGGCTTTTATTTGAACAAACTTGGTAGACATGCACAAGAAGATGTTTCAGGCCAAATATCTAAGTTTAAGCACTTACGTTTTTTTTTCAAGAACATTTATTTTTATATCGGTTTCCAAGGCAACCAGAATTTAGCATGGAATGGAATTCTTTGAACAATTGCTAAAGTGTTTCATGCAAGGAACATCCCTGTATAGTTTTAATAATATAGGCCTATTAGTATAGGAGGAGTTATTGTTTTAAGATTTTAACGACATTTTTTGAAGGACGCACGATGGACGCAGAGAGAAATTTGTGAGCTATAAAAGGTTTTGATCCTGAACATCTAATAATGTTTACCTACATAAGTCAAAAATGTTGAATAATAAAGACATTCGTTCTATGTAAAAAAATCTGGAAAGAAAGTGATCCCTCGAAGCATTTTAGAGAATCGTCCAAAGGATTATGAAAACAACTGATAATAAAATTTCTTAGGTTCTTAAGATTGACATAGCTTTATCCCTTTAAAACTTAAATTAGATTAAATTGTATAACTGCTATATTAGAATGAGAATTAAAATATCGTCAATACAGTAATTTCTGTTTGAGGAGGTTAACACTACTTTCGAGGATACATCACTCAAATTTAATGTTTTGAATTTCTTTGAACGTTATATATTTCATTTCTTGTTCTCCTTTGTGCTTTGTTTTCTCACGTAAAATTCAAATATCAGAACTTTTACTAGTTAAAATGATTTTCATGAATTTATCATCGCGTGTTAAAACTTCACAACAATTTACATTATTTTTGTCATTACAGATAATATTTCCAGTTATTATGTAGAAATTTATATAATAAGATAAAAATGCTTTCACCTGGACATGCAGTTTCAGTGCACAAACCAACATTGTAGTTGTTCCCACCTTGACTTTTGAAACAATCGTTATCCCTCCCCGTTGAACAGTTTCTTTCTCGTTTTTGGAAACATGCACCCGATTGCTGTTGACAAATCCAACTTTCCCATGGTAACCAGTAAGTAGTTGAAAAGTGGTAATTGTTGGTGGTTGTTTTGACGAAGTCATCAGTGTTGTCGATTTTGTGTGTCTAGTTGTAACTGTTCGAGTTTGTGTAGGTATTGTTTGGAAGGATGTAGAATGACCGTATAATAAATCTGAATGAATGATCAAAGAGAAAAGGTACAGTAAGGATATAAAAATGTATAATAAATAATTAACTTCCAATATTGTTATTGTAAATAAGCAAAATGGAATAAAAGAAAAAAAGAAATTTAACATAATCACCAAGCGTTTTCAGATTTTTGTTGGATTTTGCGTCGCACCGTAAAAACGTTTTGAAAGTTTTACGGCGACAACTTTAATGGTGACAGAAGACTTAAGGCGTTATAATTGTTGCCAAATAATATGCATGCCTTAATTATTGAGACTAGCATATGCCAACCACCTAGCTTTTGCTAGCTACTTTCGGGCTTTCTTTGGCCTGAAACCGTCTTAAGTCAGTTTGAATTCATTTAAAACTTACAGGAAAGAACTGCATATTAAACGAATTTTCATTAGTCATTTTAAATTAAGAAATGTAGAAATTTCATTGTTTAATCTAAAATAAAATGTAATGATATTTTTTGCCATTCTAAAATAGTATGTTAAGGATAGTTCTGAAATAAGATGTATAGGATTGTTCTTGTCATTATAAAATAAAATGTAAAGAATAGTTCTACAATAAAATGTACAGGATATTTTTGACTAGTTGAATAGCTTAGATATAATCATACTTCCTCCCGCAAAACATTTTTTCCTGCAATTAGATCTCATTCTATTTTCTACTGAGCAGTTTATTTTACATAAGAACTTACTAAGTTTATTTTATACAATAACTTACTAAGTTATAAATATTGTTCAAATACTATCAATAACGTTCACTAGTTTGTACGCTTACTAAAGGTACAGGAACGTATCTAAAAACACACACCAAGATTTAAAAACTTATGAGGTACCCTTAGTTATGATGTTCAATAAGTAGATGTTTTCAAGTGATAAAATGTTTATAATTTCAGAATTTATTATCCTTTTATTTCTGTTTGAAATATTTATATGAGATTCCTTAAACATACTATCAATATTACAAAGTTTATACAGTCTAAGGTAAAACAAGTAATAGGATAAGTTAAATAAATACTGTAAAATAAAAGTTGTCCTACTTTGAAGAGACATCAATATCAATAGCTTATAATCAAATTTCTATGTTTACAAAATGTTTTTTTTTTTTACCTAGAAGAAATTATTACCTAAGGAAATACATACTGAGAAAGTACTCATTTAAAACGATATGGAACACGTAAAATGATGTGTGCACAATTTCTGTCGAAAAATCTTACATTATTTATCTAAACAGTCAAAAATATATTTGTCAATAGCTTTAAACAAGAAGTTGTGTAGTTAATCTTAAAACACTTGATTAAAAAAATGAATTTGTAAGTACATCGGCATGATCCTAATTGAGATTTTAATATTTCCCATGGCAAATTTGTACAAATCACATCTAAGCCTGTTTGGCAACATGCCTCTGTAAGTTTTTCGTATCCAACAACACACGTGAGAAAGCATGCAGCAAACTGTTCCAGGGACAACCATGCTGTAATATAAAAAAATCGTTCTCAATACGACTTAACCACTAGAGTATTTTATATCTAATTTCTATATTTATTTTTGTCAGGTATCGATCAACAGCCGTATACATGTAGATGTCTTTTTGTTCGATCGCTTTCAACTTAGTTCCGAAATATAAACAATAAGTCAAAAGACTTTTTACTATTCTCTCTTCTAGAACTTCGAGTTGTTTTTGTTTTGTTTTGGTTTTTGTTCTGGCTGGGTAGTATTATCAGATGAAACACCCAAAGTCCTCTGCATAATTCGTACCAACAGCGCATGGGTAAATTAAGAAAAATCAAATACCTTAATTAATCGGCCACTGTCGCCCCTAGTTATATGTTTGTGATTATCATTATTATTATTATTTTAAATCATGTGTGTTAGTTTTGCATTTTGATAACACATTTTTATAACAAATTTAAATTAAAATATTTTATTTTGTTAACACAGAGACAATCGCAAGTTGTACTGTATTTCACATAATAGTATACATGATATATTGAGGCAAATTATTCTTAAGAATGAAAACAACCTTACCCAGTGCTTAAGAAGGTACGTCACTTGCACCTAACTGTTTAGCTCAATACTATAGCATTATATTTTTTACAAAATGAAATAGAGAAAATCAGAATCCAAACACGACAAAATGAAAATGTTACAGGCTCGTTTTGATTGAGCCTGTTCCTGATCGGTATTGGAAAGTGCAAGTTACTGTCCACACCCCCTAGCACCGGCTTTAGCAGAATTCAACATTGAAACATGAAAAAGTAAAATTATGAATTTAAAAACATCCACAGTTCAAATAGCGGTTATCATGGAACATTCATTGTGTCACAATAGTGCCATTCCATAAAAAAGGCATATGATCCTCAAGTTAAAGAATACGTGTGCCCTAAAAGAACAACAATGGGCGGAACTAAATAAAATGAAATTTTGAAAGAGAATCTGAGATTATGAAGCTTGCATATCACAGACAATTCTAGAAGAGATATGCTTATGAGCCCGACTTTTAATTAAAAATCATTACCTTGTCTGCCCTGAAAAATCTAAACATATACCTGAAGAGGTTGGACTTAATAATCCTGAAGAAAAGAAATATATTATTGAGTCATTAATCAAAATCATTGTATTTTTATAACATGAAAAACACAAAAAACTGGTAAGTATATAAATGACAATTTGCAGACAGTTATAAAGAAAATGTTGCTAACTTCCAACAAACATTTTATATTATATTATTTATTTATGAATTCGTTTCTATTAATTTACGGAAATCAAAATAAATGAAATTTTATTGTATATTAAAAATCATCATAAAGTGAAAAACAAGTTATATCATAAAATACGACTTAAAAGCGTAAAATAGTCATTAACATAAACAAAACAGATGAAGAATCACAAGTACCAGGGCATGACCCTAGTTTGGGTTTCAAAATATCCCATGGCAGATTTGAACAGACCACACTAAGGCCTGATTTACAACATGTTTCCAAGAGTTTTCCATATAATGGTGTGCAAGTTAGGTAACATGATGCAAACTGCTCTAATGAACTATCAGCTGAAATGAATATGAAAGAAAAGTTTTATTTATTTATTTATTTATTTTTGACGTTATAAAAGTCGAATCACAGCGAAAAACATGGATCTAGATAATGAAGAAAATAACATAGAACGCAGATTCTCGCGGTTTTTATTCTGATACTGTAAACACCGTTGAAAGTCGTAGTGATAAGAAATAAATATCAGGTTTATTATTGCTTTAAAATGATTTACAGTTTGAATTATAATCCTAGTTGATCTCAAATGTTGAATTATCTTATGAAGTTTCGCATTATGCAGTGCTGTCCATGAACAGGCCCTATCAAACCGAGCCTCTAACATTTTCAATTTAATCGTTTTTGACGTAACGCTTCTATATGGATTTATTTTTCCTAATCTTATGGTATTGCAATACAAAAATTAAACATTTTATAGACTGATAGATAACAGAATACGTGTTTAATAGTATGACTTTCTTCAAAATAATAAAGTTTTGAAAATCTGAAATAAGTTGTAATTGATTGCTATTATTTATCAGTTAAAATGGAATAATACACGTGTATGTTTCGAAGAATATGTATAAAGAAGTAACTCGCCCGGTACAGCATTTCCATCCAGTAAAAAACGTTTATAAGCCGTCAGAGAGTCATCTGCAAGAGAATTAATGTTATATTGTCATGCTGTGCAAAAATTGTCAGGAGCAAATAAAAATGCCATATCAAACATGTGCATTAATTGATCAGTATGTACATTTTGAGAAGACAAATGTGTATTCGTATTTTTAGTTTGTTCAAAGGAGAGCTTTTATGTATTTGTGTGACATTTTCAATATCAGTACAACATAGATAACCCATTTATGAGTGACATTATGCTAATATTTTTGCTTGCTGTCTTGTTAAATTGAATTATAAATATATTTCAAGATATTGACAATTATAATAATTTGAGTTACCAGAAAATTGATAATGTTAGTTTTAAAACTTCTGCGTAGTAAACTATAAAATTAAAACCAATTATGTCAAAATGTAAAGTTACTTTGATTTAAACATTTACACTTGGATAGAAATAATGTAACATTAAGTAAATATAGTTCAGTATAAATTGAAATATCTAAATTTCGCACAATTTTATGATTAAAATTTTAATATAGTTTAACACATTTATAAAGATTTAAAAGTGTAACGCTACGCTACTATTTCAGGGACACATACATACATTTATATCAAAATAATTAATAAAATGATTATAAAGAAAGTTGTATACATGAAACGAATTGGTTTCAATATGTTTCCAATATATTTTTTCATAACAATAAAAACATATCTTGACCTTTAGATCCAGAAGTATCGCGTGCATAAGCCGGTAGTAGTGTCACAAGCACAAGTAAACCTTAAAAAGACACATACGTAAATGTAAAAATGAATTAATTTTAGAGATTACACAAAGCATCCTAGGATAATTATTCAATGCGATTATAATCATGTTCAAAGAAATATGATAACCTAACGAAAGAGTTATAACAAAAGACATTATAAAATAATACATATGCCACTTGGGAGAAGAGCAAGCTGACTTTTGACCTTATTATTACTAAACAACTATTCACAATAAAATAACATGAAAATTACAAACTCAGTTTGATAGAGTCTGCACATGACGGATAATGAAAAATTGCATCAACCGTTACGTTCGCTGCGCTGCTCAATTTCCAACATTTAACAGTGTTGGAATCAATGATCCCGAAAGACAAGAAAAATAAAACAACACTGAAGTTACAAAAAAATGTATGAGTGAATATAAAATTAAGTACTTAAAGTACCTGCGCTCTCTCTTAACATTATTATCTTTCTGAATGACCTACTTACTGCCTTTATAACAAATGGTCAATAAGAACAAACGCTATATTCGTAACAAATTAAACACGATCTGCTGATAATTTTAACGGTTTATTATAAGCTTAAATATTTACAATAGAGGGTCGTCTCTTCCTAGGGCATGGTTTTGATTTTTCCAGATAATCCGCTCACGTTATAAAGGACACGAAATATTTTGTCTTAGGATGTTATTCAAAATATAGTTAGCATGGATAGTTAGAAAATTAAAAACTATTAAAGACTCATTATGCCCCTTGAAATGTCAGGCATGCGTCTAATAAAATATTTGCTTTAATAATGGATTTAGAGCATATACATGATATAAGATGTCTTGCGAGCGAATAAAGTAGCAATGAACGTGCCGTAATGTGTAATAAAGGTAGCACAATGTAAAAACAATAGTTTTTTGACCTCCATACAAAATACTAAATCACTATAACTATACCAAATGCCGAAAGATCAAAGGGGAACAGATGGTTCAAATATATGACAATTGAGCAAATGTCGGGGAACTGTTAAAATATACCGAAAATAAAGAAAAAAGGTTTCTGTGTTTGCATTTCTAAGGCGTTATTGGTCTTTAAGGACGAATTGAAAGTTATGTACGTTACATAGTATAGTACAGAACATATGTCTTAACATGGAGGGAACCACAAATGCGCGAGTCATTTGTGCATAACGGTCACATGGTATTAGGCTGTATTTGGCGGTAAAATGAGCGGAGTTTTCATTCTAGGCTTGATTTCTGTCTGAATTTTATTCAAATTCGAAAACAATCATTCAGCAATTTCGATAAGTGGTTTTGTATTTAAATGATGGCATGTAAATCAATATATACAGTCTAGTTTAAGCTGTAATATTTTGTTTTATGATTCATTATTATAATTAATTTACGGTGTAAGAAAAGTAGCTTTTTAAACTTAATTTACATGCTAGGACGTAGTACCTAGATCCTATATTCGGAGGCATGGACGATTCAAATCGCTTAGCCAGGCGTTCTTTATAGCTGGCGATGCTGGGGTTGTGTGAATGAACTCGTGTCTTAATGCCAGCGTTGAAAGGTCGAAAGTTCTTCGTTTTACGGACACATGTTTTTTTTTCCTCGGCTGCGATGAATATCCCTCAGATTATGGGGTTTATGTTATAAATGTTGGAAAATAACCGCAGATTGATTTGGAGCATGTAACATTAAATAAAAAAAACTATTGAAGTATTAAGTTTAATGCAAGTGCAAGTGCATTTATTGAGATATCTAATTCGGTACGTATGTATATTAATAAATACATAATGTATTCCTCCAGCAATAATTAGAGGTTAACACTTGATTGCTGCTCGGCATTATGCGATAATGGCCCGAAGATATGCATAATGACCTGAGGGCCGCAGGCCCGAAGGACATTATGGACTCGAGCCTGCGGCCCTCATGTCATTATGCACATCTTCGGGCCATTATCGCATAATGCCGAGCAGCAACCAAGTATTAATGGCTTTAATACATATGTCCGAAAAACGGCATTTAGACATCGCCGCTAATCTTGGTTGTCGCCCTTTCTAAGAAACGGACAGTTGTCAATGTAAACAAAAATATATCATTTAGTTTAACCCTCTTATTTCATTTGAAAACATGAGAAAACAAAATAAATATGAGACAATGTTGTTTTATTGTTGTTTATATCGATAAAAACTCGATATATTTTTGTGAGAATAACATACAGTGCCAGTTTATTAACTTTTGTGCCTCCGAGACTGATGACTAGCTCCATTTGTCATCGATCCGATCTTATTTCTACAGTCAAACTGAAATCATTTTCGGAAATTCTGAGGGTTATGTTTTGTCTTTGGTAGTATTCTTTTGTTGAGTTTATAAATTTTCAATGTTAAGCTTTATTGATTGAGACTGGTTACGTCATTGAAGCTGAAAGTTTTTTGTGCAAGGGACTACTGTACAGTTCATTCAACGTCAGCAGCCATCTTGAAAGTCACTGAGAGTTGATTACGTCATTTTGCACGTGCGCTCATTCACTCGCCCATTATGGAAAATAATGCCGAGTAGCAAGGCGGCCAAAATTGCATAATGACCTAGATCTTGCCATAATGGTCCTGAAATACCCTAGATTTTGTTACTATATATAGTATCATAGGTATTAAACTTGAATAAAGCCTATCGAAGTCTTTCCCACTGCAACATTGTTTTATATTATTTGTGAACCCCACCATGTTCCTATAAACAAGACAGTGTAAACAAAATGAATCCCCGCCAAGTAAACGTCTAACTTTTGTTATGGTTACAACGAAAATTAAGACAATTCAGTCCCAAAGGGCTTTAAGAACTGTCCATCATAGAGTCTCCCACAATGGTCCGTCAGATTTAATGAAAAGAGGAAAGCGTAGTGTCCAACTGTAAAAGGGTTGAACACCAAGCATGCAGTATGTCTTAAAATAATAGGGTCGTCACCTCTTTTAATAAAATCTTTTAATTAAAAACAGCAGAAAAATTGCGACTTGCGTTCATTGAACGCCGCCTTTCCTTGTTGATCTTATTTAACATATTTTATCACACTTTTTAATAACATGTGTTTAAATGGCAGTCAAACAAGACGTCAGGAAGTTGACTTTTAGTGCAAGATGTAGAATTGGCAATGGATCTGGCTTTGTAAGTTTTTTTTATGTAATTTAGGAATCCAATACATAATAGGAAGATTGAGTTCTTTTTCATTAATTTAGACTTTAAGATTGGAAATATTAGTGATATGATTGTATGCAATGTCTTTTTCGGAGGCAGAGGTTTTAGAATACGCATTAGTACTATTTAATTCCTAATGCAAAATGGTCATGTAATGGATTCGCCATACAATTATAATATTATAAGCGTCTTGTCCGCAGGCACCAAACCAAATTTTGAATGAAAAGCTAGAATATCCATTTTCAGATGTCTTAAAGTACGTCTTGGTACGATAAAAATTAATACCTGAATCAATAATTTTAAAAATGTTACGTTTCCATGTAACTAGAGCATTACTATCCGCATTTTCACGGCGACACCATTTGACAGAAAAATCCTCTATAGATTAAACAATCTGACTACGACAAGCCTTAAAATCAATCTCAGAAGGTATTCTGTATTTAGGTCCGTTCAGGAATAAGTTACGAATTATTTTGTCTGCAATTATATCAAAATTACCAGTGATTATAGGACCAAAATCTGAATTACAGAATCTAGAAGTATTGCAGTATCAAGTTGAAGGAGTATTAGACTGAATATCTAAGTCAGAGACCACTTCGTGGTAATTAAATATGATATTTCGAAAAGGTTTCTTATTTTCTTAAGCAAATAATTGGTATGTCGGAGTTGTGTTTGAAGTATAGAGGAACTGAATCAGTGACACGTTTACCATGCAAAATACTTGGTAAATCGATGAAATCTATACCTTTATTCAGAAAGGTAACTGTCGTGGTCAGAAGTGTTGTCGATATGAGGTCTAAAGACGTGCTTAGTAAAAGTATCGCCCCTTTGCCCCTTGTTTTATTTCTTTAATGTCCCCCACCCCTTCTCCGGATCTCCTGTCTCATTACACTGTGCCCTTTGCTTTTGTGGGCCTATTATTCAATCATTTATTTGTTTTCTTTGAATTTTCTTTGAATTCCTTATTTCAGCAGATAATGATAAGTTAAGCTTGTTTGTCTGTTTACAGATAATATTGAACGAGAATCGTTTCAGTAATAACAAGTTTACATATAATAATAATTAGATAATAATATTATGTAAGCATCTGAGGCGAAATATTATCTTCGTAATAGACGAGTCAGTATTCCAAAATCTATTCATTTTTAAGAATATAATAGTTGTATCTATCACAAACTAAAATACAGAAATACCACTCATTTTCTCATTTTTACGGAGTCTGAAATGACGAAGAACAATGAAAACTTAATTTTCCTTACTAGATAATAATCGTTTCTAGCTCATCCTAGTTTCAAGATAATGGTATTCCTAATTAAAGAAGTACATCCATTTGTTTTTAATGAGTAAATCGTTATTCATTTTCGTCGAGACTAAACTAATCTCTACCATTCATTACATTTATGTTATGTAAGGTTTAGAACACTATCTCAACTATTACATTTTTTCCTATCGATAATGCTACACTGCCGGTAGATTACAGGTAATTGACGGATGTTTCTAAATCATTTATGGATTAAGTTATCAGCTGCTCATTGACATTTCTCTTTCAACGTATTTACACAAGATCAATTTCAGGCAGTATTTCATTACTACATTGTATTAAAGAGAATAATTAAAATCTTGAAATATATATCTTCATGATAGCAGATCCAGGAATATAATATTTGGTATAGTATCCACGAAATAAACTTATAGATCAATATATTTGATATTTATTTTGATCTGATTTGTTTTGTCTTTTTAAAATATAATATATTATATTTTGCATTTATGATACAAGTGACTGATAAAAGAAAGCATTTTTGCAAAATATTTGATGCAATAAGTTATTTCTTCTCATAAAATTAAACAGTGGACGTATGTTTCGGTACATTATTCTGGTAAATTTGAATTGTGCATACTTTAATTAAACCAGAATGTGAATACTTGCACAGGTTCTAATTAATTTTTTTATTTATAAACATGGGTCAGTTGAAAACAACTTAACAAAACGTTAAGTACTTGACTTCTCAACAGAAGAATTACGGAAATTAGGTAAACAGTAATAACTGGGTGAAATGCGTCTGACGACAGGTGTGAAAATATATTAATTCAAATTTATTTGTTTGTTATGTAACAAAAATAACTGGTTTGGTCATATGTGGCATTTATTTAGTATATAACACACAAAAAAATGGTAAAACTATATTTATGCATAATGGTACTATGCTGCCACTATTTGTTATATAAGAAATAATTACAAATAAAACAAATATCCATATAAAATACATAACTCCTAAAGCATTGCAAAACGGTCAAAATTTAAAATGTT